CCCCAAAACCCCAAAACCCCAAAACCCCAAAACCCCAAAACCCCTCTTATGTTTGTAAATGTAGAAAATATAATAACATATTTACAGAAATGAACTCGAGTAGGGATAGCAGAGTGCGAAGATCAAAGTCTCCGAAGCTGATGAGCAAGAGGACTCGTTCTAATAATAAATCCAATATCAATAACATAGTAATTAAAAAGAAAGCTAAACTGAGACCTGTGCATAAGAGTTCTTCCAAACTAAACACCTCTAAAGGAAGCAAGACTGGCCTGAGTAACTTGTCTGTCTCTCGCAGTGTGCCATCATTGCCAATAATTGCAGGCAATGACTTAAAAACTATCAAGGAAATATTTACCAGAGCCAAGAAGTTTAAGGAGAAGTATGGCCGACAGAAAATACCTGTGAAGGTTATGATGGCTGGCAAATATAGTTCAATGGGACATTTGAGAGTATCAAGGAGTATACCCAAATACAGAAAATTCCGGCACTCTACAGTCGGAAATTCATCTAAAATCAGTAAGTCAGTAAAACTCTATTGACGAATATTTATGGTTTTACACAGAAATCTACTTTGAGTGAAATATATTGAAATTTTGGAGGAATTCATAATCATTTGATCTAGAAAAACCTAATAAGGAGCACATACATAAACTGAAGCTGTCTGCTGAGTAAGTATTTTAGAAGGTATAAACGATAGTAAAAATGACATTGAATGCTCCAAAGACCAAGATGACTCTTTAACAGAGGTCCAGGAGATACCGCCAACAAAATATAGATCTGGGCCGAAAAATAGTACAAAATCAAAGAATAAATCAACCAGAAAGAATGCTCAGAAATATCAAACAAAGTATGGTATTGAGGGTAAGTAATCTAACCTAAATTATACTAAGTATTTACTAAGAACACATTTTTGGCTTCTCTCTGAAGTTCTAGTAACTTTCAATCAGCCTAATCTGAGGATTTCTGCAACCAGGTTTGCTAAGTTACTCCAGATATTACATGTAGAAGTATAAACCAACTTATGAGCTCTTCTAATTATTGGTGTAGTGAGAAGAAATGCAAATGGATTCCCCGCAACAACATTAGTGCATCGAAAAATGATTTCTAAGCGATATAAGAATATTAATGGAAGCACTAAGGATGACAGGAGTGAGATGACAAGCTTAGCTTCAGGGATCCCTTAAGATCATGTCTCCCTAATGCCATATATCGTAGGCCAATCATAAATAGCCGAGTTGGATGTACATTTGTAAAGCATAACTCAATTGTTTGAGGGTAAAGAGGGGTTTTGGGGTTTTGGGGTTTTGGGGTTTTGGGGTTTTGGGG